TGAACATTCGTATTATATTTTGGTATGAGTTTTTTTTTAAAAAAAAAAAATTCGAAAGTTTGTTGTATGTTTATTATTTTTGTTATCATACTTGTTGGTTGAACAATCATTTTTGTTACAATTGAACAATCGAACAATCGAAATACTCCCTCCGTCCCAAAATAATGGTCCCTTTTGGGGAATCCAACTTTTTTTGGTAGTACAATTATTGTACTTTTAAAAAGTTAGTTTTCCAAAATTACCCTTTGATAGTACACTTTTTTGAGAATATCAATGTCATAATTGTACTTTTTATATTATTTATGAATTTAAAAGAAGGGCAAAATGGGAAATTTATATTATTTTTGTACTTGATTTTTGAAGAGGGACTAATATTTTGGGACAACGAAAAATGGAATAAGGGACTAATATTATGGGACAGAGGGAGTAGTTGATTTTTACTTTTTTCAATTTTGTTTTATATTTTCACGTTGCAGTGTAAATGTTCACATTGGTATGAGTTTATTTTTTTAAGACTAGTTGTATGTTAATTGTAAATTGTGAACATTCACATTATATTTTGGTATGAGTTTTGTTTTTGGAAAGTTGGTTGTATGTTTATTGTTTTTGTTACTATGCTTGTTAGTTACACAATTAATTTTGTTATCATTAAACAATCAAAATAGTCGATTTTTCTTTTTTTTCAATTTTGTTTTATGTTTTCACGTTGCAATGTAAATGTTCACATTGATATGAGTTTATTTTTTTAAGGCTAGTTGTGTATTAATTGTAAACTGTGAACATTCACATTGTATTTTAGTATAAGTTTGTTTTTTTGAAAGTTAGTTATATGTTTGTTTTTTTATTGTGAACATTTGTATTGTATTTTAATATGTATTTTATTTTTTCGAAAGTTAATTGTACGTTTGTTATTTATTGTGAACATTCACATTTATTTTGATTTTCGTTCAATTTTTGTTGCATTATTTTAAAAAATTTCGCATTATAAAAAAGTTAAAAGTTAAAAGTTTATAAATTAAGATTTTTTTCCGTAGAATGAGGGGAGATATTTTCCCCTTAAAATGAGGTAGAGATTTTTTTTCTTAGAATGAGAGACTAGTGTTATTTTTTATTGTGTATTAGTTTTAAAATGAAAATATGTGCAAAAAATTAGAAGGATGATTTGGTCATATTACATTAAACAGGACCTAATGAAATATTCATAAAGAAGGAAAATGAGTGAGACTCTCTTTTTTGAGAACCCCACAACTCCAAAGTGATCCACACCACTCATGTATGTGTGGGACCCACTCATGTATGCCGGGGGCCCACATCATGAGTGGTGTGGATTATTTTGGGAGTTGTAGGGTCCCTAAAAAAGGGTCTCTATCATTGTTGAAAAGATGATTTATCAAACACTTAAAAAGACTATAATAAACTACAAATAAGTATGATTGAATAAAACACTTAAAAAGATAATTTATCAAAAAAGGACCCTTTTGAAAAATAACTACAAACAAATAATAAAGTTTACAAGTATTAATAATTAAAATTACAAATTTTTTCATAAATCTATAATAAATTTCTAAAACTACTGCCTAATGGTAAATTCTCCTTTTACTTGTGTGTTTCTATTCTTTCTCAAACAGACATGGGCACACAATTGAAGTCCTCAATTGGTGGGGACAAGAATAAAAGAAATTCATGACAATCAAACACGCAAGGTGAAGGTAAATTTTTGATCTTTACCTCCTTTAAAAATTTATGAGTAAACTATCAATAGATTTCTGTTTTTTCCCTCAATTCCCAGGTTTTTTTTTTTTTTTTTTTTTTTTTGGGGTGAATAACAAACATACAAGGGTACAAAATAGAATGGCTTCATGAAAAAGTTAAGCTAAAAGTAAACTCTGATCAATCTATCAGGTGATTCAGATCCCAAAAAAAAAAAAAAAGAAAAAAAAAAAAAAAATCTATCAGGTGATTGATGTTTAATTAGATGTGGAAATATTATTAAGGAGGATAGGACAAGCAGACCTCATATTAGATCATATTAAATTGTCAAGGCTAGTGTGAACCAAATTATGCCAATCAATGAAGAACAGTCAATCAAGATTAACCATCCAATTTTTGGGGTTATTTAATTCATGATTGTGTGCTCTTGAATGCAACCACATAAAAGATTGGGATTGTGTCAATGAGGAGAGTGTGAAAGCATAAGATGTGGGAGAATCTAACTTCATAAATCACTTTAATGGGAGTTGACTAACAAAATTAAATCAAACTATAAATTGAGTGAAGTCAGATTTATGATTTTTTTTTTTTTTTTTTGTTATTCAAGTTGTATCGAAAGATTATATGTTCGATTAAATTAAATAAATTAATATATTTTTTTTACCATTGATCATATGTCAACTGATGTCTCTCTCCTTATGTATCTTTCTATTTATGGTGATTCTTTCTTATTATTATATATATAAATTTTTGTTCATATGACCAAATAATCTTGAGATGTGCATTTTTTCATGTATATTTTTTGGGTGCAATGGTAGATGATAGTATCATCGACAAATAGAGCCGACCAAATGCCACAGAATATATCACCATTATATCTAGTATCTATTCAAATTTCTTTTTTTTTTGAACTTTTCTTTTGCATGATTAATGTTGTTTGGTGTTCGTGCTTGTGCATTTGTAAGAGCATCATACATACACCAAAAATTCATTAAACATTGCGAATATGCTGTTATGAATATATGACTTCATCAAGATCTTGGTGAGATAAAGAAATTAGAGGAAATAAATGTATAAGAATGATGAATCACATGTACTTATATAAAGAGTTCAAGATTTACATAATTCACTTTAAAATTAGGGATACATCTACAATCATTGCGATTCCGTTATGATTAGAAGGGTTACATGACACATACAAAGATAATCGCTCCTCTTAACTACATATAGATATAAATTTGATCAAGTCACAAGTGCAAAATACTAAAAATATCCTTACTCCAAATTTTGGAACTACTTAGTGATACTAGTTAGATCTATGGTTGAGTAATTAGTTTTCAAGACTTATCATGATCCACACTATCTAACATTATTGCATCCTCAAATGGATTGTGCTTATAGTTTGTTATCATGTAGAGGTGATATAATTAAGAAGAGAGTAGTGTTGGGGCAGTAAAAACATAACATAAAGATTGTTTTAGTAAACGTGTTACAGAGCTCCTTCAATATGAATTTAGAATACAATCAAACTATTTTTATATTATTAATATCCCTCTTTAACTCAACTTTACCCCATTTACAATAATCACTCTACCATTTCCTCTATACATGACTAGGGGTAGACATTCGTCGGACCAGGCCAGGCCGGATCGACACTACATAGTAAAAGATTTTGTGTCTGTCCAAACCTGGTTTGACCCTAACATCAGGCCGCTAGATTTGCCCAAACTCGTCCCAAACAATAATTATAAATCTCAAGTTCATCCATCGAGCTATATGTTAATTTTTTTTTTGTTTAAAACATTTTATAATTAAATTCAATCACACATTATATTTTTTAAATAAATATGTTAACAACATTATAAATTGAAAGATTTTGTGTATAAATTCAATTAAATATCACCACAAATGTGAGTTTCAATAAAATTAATAAAGACAAAGTTTAGATCTCAAATATATATATATATATTAGTATATTATAATTAATTAATTAATTTAATAGCTAGTCGAGCTGGATCGAAAGTATAAATTTCAAGCCCAATTCATTAATATATCGGACCGAAAATATTGTTACAACCCAACCTTATAAATTAAAATAATATTTTCAAATCTTGAAAAAATAAGGCCCAACCAAACGGGCTAATAACCCGATGCCCACCCTATATTGAATATTCTATATATATATATATATATGTATCTCACACCCCTAAAAGCCACTTTATATTCTCATGACTAACTACATCCATGTATCCTATATAGATAATGAACCACCTAACATTAATATTCTAGAAAATTATGAATAGAAAAATACCTTAGACCCCAGTGCGACCTCCACCACCTCCACTATTTTTTGATTGGTCAATAAATTTTTTTTATTTTTTTATTTTCCACTTGCTGTACCTCACGTGGAGGTGGGGGTGCTGGGGTCTCTAACACTGTTGTTATGAATATAAGATTTCCTTTATTTTTCAATAAGGGCCTTTCTAGATGAGGCTACCCGTGGAATCGAAAAGTGCCTCTGTACTTTTCCCTTCTTATTAATCTTTTCGTTCACTTTTTCTAACATTTCTAATACCAACTAATTCATTCATACTTTTTGAACACCCCTCCTTAATTCACAATTTTCTCAAAACATGCCCAACATTATTTTCTAATTGTTGCGGTTAGTTTCCAAGCTTTTCTTTAAGTAATTCATATTTAACCTAAAAATTATTAATATAAAAATTGTATTAGTAAGTGTGTCTATGCATGGACGTGTAGATATGTAGGAGCCCTGCATATCTCTTTCAATATGAATTTAGAACACAATCAAAAAGAATATTTCTATATTACTAATCTTCCCCCTCAATTTAACTTTGTCTCATTTACAAAAATCATCGGGCCATGTCTTTTATATCAAACTATATTGAATATTCTAGATACATGTATCTCACGTCTATCTTTTATATCAGACTATATAAAATATTCTAGATACATGTATTTCACGTCTCTAAAAATCATTTTATATTTTTATGTACATTCTTAACAGATCCACGTATCTTATATAGATAGTATACTCCCAATATTAAAATATTCTAAAAGATTATGTACCTTATTAATCGCATCCATGTATCTTATATAGATAATATACCCCCAACATTAATATTCTAAAAAATTTTGAATTACTTTTTTTCAACAATATATAACAAAGAAACAAAGTCCCAGTGAAATAATGGCAGCATGCTTCACCCCTGCCTTCCCCCTCTTATGTGGACCCCACACAATTGCCCATAAATAAAGACCTTATGCAAGGCTAGAGAGTTGTGTGATCTCAATATTAATTTTTCCCCGTGTTTGTTTCCCCCGAAAAATAACCTCATAGTGTCGACATGGGTTGCCAAGATGAGCTTCTAGTCAAGAAAGTCTGTGAGATGTATGAGAAAATCTCAAGGCTTGAAAGCCTCAAACCATCCAAAGATGTCAACATGCTCTTCACCCAACTAGTCCTCATGTGTATGCCACCAAATCCTATTGATGTAACCAAGCTTTGCAAAAGAGTTCAAGAACTTAGGTCAAAGCTCATAAGACTATGTGGTGAAGCTGAGGGACTCTTAGAGAGCCATTTTTCAACCATCTTGGGATCATTTGACAACCCTCTTGACCATCTCAATATCTTCCCTTACTTTGCCAACTACATCAAACTAAGCCACCTTGAGTTCACTATCCTCTCCCAACACCACACCAAAGTCCCCAACAGTGTCGCCTTCGTGGGGTCCGGGCCCCTCCCCCTCACTTCAATAGTCCTAGCCACTAACCACCTCACCACCACCGCTTTCCACAACTACGACATCGACCCTTCCGCCAATTCAATGGCCTCTCGCCTAGTTTCGTCCGATCCTGACTTGTCTAAACGAATGTTTTTCCACACGACCAATGTAATGGAAGTTACGTGCGAGTTGAAAGACTACGATGTCGTTTTCTTGGCCGCTTTGGTGGGTATGGACAAGAAGGAAAAAGTTCGAGTCATAGATCATTTGGCTAAGTACATGGCTCCCGGAGCGATTTTTATGCTGAGGAGTGCTCATGGTGCTAGGGCTTTTCTTTATCCGGTGGTTGATCGTTGTGATCTTCGAGGGTTTGAGGTTCTTTCTGTGTTTCACCCTACTGATGAGGTTATCAATTCTGTTGTGATTGCTAGGAAGTTTCCAATGCCTATGCAATCACTCGATCAAGGGCTTGGCAATCTTATACTGCCTTGCAAATGTGGTGATCATATCCAAGCCTTTAGTTCCCTCAACCAGCTCAACATGATTGAGGAATTGGCTATTGAGGAGCATCTCTCATGAAAAACCCCTCTCCCTCTCTAAGCTACAAATCTATGATGCACCATATGGAAATTGGATCCATTTATTGGTTTTGAACCTTTGTGCATGTCTAACTCTTTCATCTTCTAGCAATATATATGTATTTTCCCTGTTGTGTATTTATTTGAAATTTCAAGAAATAAAAATAACCCTTCAACTTGTGTTCCAAATTACGTCTTCTAGTTAATCTTTAGCTATATATATATTCAAGTGGCCAAGTTTGGGAAGATTAAAAAAGTGCACTTTTTGTCTTTTTGGACTAAAAAATTGAGGTTGAAAATATGGATGTTTGGGTTAACTTTTTGACTTTTTATTGAAAAATGTGTAATAAAAAATTGTAAAAATTGATTTGTAGAGAAAAATTTGAATTGGGAGTTGTGCAGCCGTAATTGTTGACTTTTAGTGAATAGTGTTAACTTTTTAACTTTTTAAGTAACTTTTTGACTTTTTAGCTTTTTTGGAAGTACCCAAACTTGACCTAATTTTGTGTGCCCGAAATGTGTACCCTTTTTTTGGGTAAATAAAACGTGTACAATTAATTTTACTAGAAAGCAATTATATTAGCGTGTAATTCCTGCTTCACTATTGGAAGAGGAAAAATATAAAGAAGTTAAATAATAATGATGGGATCCACACACTAATGAGGTCGTTTATGGTACGGGTACATTTTTTGGGCATAGTAGAAGTACTGTAAAAATTTACTCATCCATGCTATTTTAGATTAATTTTCTTGAAGACTAAGCTCTTAGGTTATGTTTGGATCATAGATTTGGATAGGGATTTGGAAAAAAGAAAAAAGAAAAAAAAAAGAAGTGTGTGAAAGATGAGTTATATTTCATTCACATTTCACCCACATTTTCAATTTTTCTTTTCAAATCCGTACGTAAATCCATCAATCAAACACAACATTAGAGGTTCCTTTACATCATATGCCATTGCTACATTGTTTTCTAGCTTATTTTGGTAGTTTTCTTAGCTAATACTTATACAAGAGCTCACACAGGCCTAAGAAATTTGCTGCACACAGAAGTGTAGCCTCTTGCACAGTTTTGTTTTGGCTTTGATGAGGCGAAAATGTCTACTTTTCACTTGTTTTGATCTAACAAATTAGCTGATATCATGCCTTTTCTCATCTTCTCTTTTTCAATCCTTCTATGTTTAATTTCATATACACAATAAAGAAAAATCTTGTCTAGTGGAGTTGAAAAAAAGAAAGATATGATGAGATGAATTACAAATCAAACCTAGAAAAAGACTTTGCTTTTCGTTTTAAAAAAGAATTTTCGGGTAGAATTCTACAAAGAATTATTGTGAGTCATGAGTATGGTAAATAGTCATCATCTAGCACGCGGTCTGTGGTTCTGTTAGTTTTTGTCATATATTGAATTGTTAGCATGAGACAATATTTCTAGCACGCGGTTTGTGGTTCTGTTAGTTTTTGTCATATATTGAGTTGTTAGCATGAGACAATATTTCTAGATACATTCATTTGGCTTTAATCAGTAACCAACTTCTCTCTCTCTCTCTCTCTCTAAAACAGTCAAATGAATTTGTTAGAGCCAATTCATCCTCCTGATGAATCTGGAAGCTAGGTACAACTGTAACGTAAAATCACTAAAACTAAATTATTATGGTTGTTGCTGTCAAACGTTCTTCCCAAGTTGCGTTCTTTTTCGCTAGTAAGATCGAAGGGAATTGAAAATTTCAACAATAATTCACTGCAAGGATACAATTGATACAATTAGGGCAGGCCTTAAATTTGGACTCACAAATTTTGATTCTTTCCCCTGTCTAAAAACTCAAGATTTAATCTCTTAATGAATGAAGAATATTTCTCATTTTTTTTTATCGGCAAATGTTAGTTTTTTATCGGCCTATGAGAGAGAATCTCCTCAATCCCTCTAAGAAGAATTGAACCCATAACCTCTTTGAGACTAAGCCCTAAGGAAAGTATGGTGGCCAACTGGGTTAGGCCTAATTGGTTAATGAAGAATATTTCTCATAAGCTTCAATAAATATTTAGATGCTATTAATTGAACAAATTATATGGCAAAGTTATGGTTCATTCTACAGAATGATAAACAGTTTGTTGCATTATTACATAGAGAGAAAAGTCGACTAGGTATTTGTACAGTTACTGAGTGATCCCTAAGTCATTAGGTTGGGTATATGTTGTACTGAAATGTTGCAAGTGTAGTAAAGATACGCATCATGAGATTTTGCTTTGTCAATGGTGGAATCATAAATTGGAATCCCCTTTGCTTCTGGCTTATAACAAACGTTTACATTTTGAAACAAAATTCTTTTAAACGTTATTAGTGAGTTTGTGCATAGAGATATATGGTTATGAGAGCCGTATAAAACTCCTCTGATATGATCTTTTATACAATCTCACTAAATCATGTCTATATTTTTAAGATTGATATTATTAGTATCCCATCAATTATTTAGAGTCTCTATTTCTTTAAATCTTCACTTATAAATTTTAAAACCCTTAATTTTTTTTTTAAATATCAAAATTATGTTTGTGAAAACATTTCAGTCATTCAATTGAATGCACACCCCCCACATCTCAAAAAGTCTCTCTCCCAAAAACCCTAACAAAACTCACGAAGTTGAATTACTATTTCATCTCCACATACTTGTTCATAACTTAAGAAAATAAATGTAAGATTTTTTGTTATTGATTCAAAATTTTCCTTTTGTGGGTTCTATGATCTCCAGAAGTTTTAGTCATCTGTTTCCAAACAAATGAACAATGTTCGGCCTATATTTCCGAATTTTGGTTATATGTTCGGGAGTTCAATTCCAAAAAAATGACGAACAATTTTTATTATTTTTGTCATTTTTTTCAAGAAACTTACTCTTATAAAGCCAATCTTCTCTGACCTAAGAACACTATTAAAGCTATGAACTTTCTCTGAGTTTTTATTGTTGTACTCCTCTCGTCTCATAGAGTTGTGGTTGCCGAAAAAACTTGCACTCATTGTCATTGCTAGAGTAGTGTAAGTAATCAAATGATTGCCACTGTTACCGCATAAATATTGTCGCCAAACAATTTTTAAGGTTTTAAGGATGGGGATGTTTTGAATGTGAGATTTGGGAAAGATGGATGAGTGGTGATGAAGTTGGGTACTCTTATAAATCCTAACTCATGATGTTGTAGATGTGTGAGTTTAATTGTGAGATGAGGTGTCCCAAAATTATTGATTTCCCTTTTAGTAATTTCATTTGAGGTTATTATTGTAATAAAAAAAAAGCTAAAAAATGAGAGGTCTAAAATAATTAATGGGCACTAATAGCAGCACTCATTTTTAATTTTAATTTTTTAATTTACATAAATCACTCTACTATGTTCTTTATAGAGAGAAGATTCTCTTCAGTTAGATTTCGCAACTGAAAGGTGTTGTTGGGTCTTCGTGGGCCCATCATGGAGCCCACATTAATGATCTGAATCGCTGAATATGTAGGGTTTGTCAAATAATTCATTCCCATAAAAAATCACGTTGATCGGATATACATAGCAACTTGATCATAATACATTTGTATCAGAAATTTATTTTAAAAATTATACTTACCGTTAACACAAATGTGATCTGATCAAGTGGGTATCGATATTCGATCAATATGATATTTTACAGGCATAAAGTACACGACAATCCCTACATATTGAACGGTTCAGATTATTGATGTAAATTTCGTAATAAATCCACGGAAGTTCAATAACACTCTTCAGTCTGATTTAGACTAGAGAGAATTTCTTTATGTACACTATCTTAGAAGAGAAAATGCTAGGAATCCTAAATATTTTACCAAGTGTCTCACATGAGTGTAGGACCCACACTATGTGAGTTGCATGTGAATCTTACACCCATGTGAGATATTTAGTAAAAATATTAATAAAATATTTAAGACCCCTATCATTACTCATCTTGGAAGTTCTCTAGTTACATGAATCACATCCCTAGATAACCTTTTCATATTCTTATGCAACCCATTAAATACATTTATGTATCTTCCTATAATTAAATGTATAATCCAACATAAATATAAGGGTAATGCTATAGCATTACCATAATCTAGAAAATTGTGGATTAATTTTTTCAACACTTATCCTTAAATTCACAACTCTCTTTTTACCTCATCGTCCATTTCTATATGAATAATGCTATATGTACCAATTAATATACTAATTAGTGTATTAATTGACAATGTAGCATAATTTAAGAAATTTTTGATATTTGTAATGTGATTAATGAGTGAGGTCAATAATAATATCATAACTAGTGTTGGTATATCAGTTAGTACACTAATTAGAGATTATTTCATTTTTACCCCTATACTTTGTCATGTTTTTCAAAGACACCCCAGACTACTGTTAGTTTCATGCGTACCCCTATACTATGTGAATTCCTTTCAATTTTACCCCTGCCGTCTATTTCTGTCAAGGAAGTGGATGGAATGGGTGATGTGGCCCCTTATACTTTCACATGGAGGGAGAATTAAGGTTTTCCCCCCCAAAATCTAACCTACCCTTGTATTCCTTTCAACCTATAAAAATAGAGACGACTGTAAATAAAAGAAAAAAACAGAGCATCAATGCAATCAATTGGAGCGAAAAAATGAGGAACAATCGAAGCTCAAGAAATTAAGGTAGATGGAACGCAAATGGTGTAGACGAGATGTTTTGCAATGTTTGTGGAAGAAGAAGGCTGATACACACAGCATGGACGGACACAAATCCTGGAAGGAGATTTCTTAGTTGCCTTAACAGTGGTTGTAATCACTTTACCTGGATAGGCCCACCCATGTGCGATCGGGCAGTGCAGATCATTCCTGGGCTGTTGAAGAAATTGAATAAAATGGAAGCACAATAGAAGAGAAGGACTCGAAGAGAGAGGAAACTATGGATTTGCTTGGTTTTGTCATGGTTGGTTGTAGGAATATGGTTTGTAATGTAAAGTTTGAAGTAGTATGGTAGTGTAAGAATAAATGGAGTTTGTATCCTGTTTATGAATCATATGCAATGGATGAAGTGTTGTTAATAGAAAATATGTTTTTGAGATGAAAATTGTGTGCTTGGTGACTTATTAATTTGTCTCCATTATTTTGTGTTTGGTGACTCTGACATAGACAAAGGAAACATACAGAAGTAGGTACACAATCTGTG